AGGCTTTTTTCAATAGCCTCCAGTCCACCTTTTCCATTAAAAAATAGCCTGCCCCACTCCCAAATTTAAAGCTACCCTCTACCAAATATGTGTGCTCAGTCCATGTGTCCATATGTAGTTGTTTTGCCATAGTTGTTTTCCTTTAAAAATAAATATACCAGCTTATCTATTTTGCAAACATTCAAGACATGGTTTCTAAAATGGGTTACACAGCCCTCTAATGTTACGGTAAGTGATTTGACTTTAAGTGCACTCATTTCCACTAGTTCACATTTCAAACTGTCTTTTACTCATTGTCACACAAGCCTGATGTCTTTGCAGAGCCTGATACCTGCTTTTACAAACAAAACCTATGAAATCAGAGCTCTAGTTTGCATCATGTAAACCTGCCTCTTCCTGGTTCAGGGGCATTATTTAAGCCCTCCCCACTGGCTTAGCAGAGACAAAGTGGAGTTGGCTGTTAAACAAAGTGTGAGTCTGTTAAACTCAGTAAACTGACCAGAAGGGCAAAAAAAATAATTTAAAAAATTGATTTCTTTTTGGATGCAAGGCTGCACCAATGGGAGAAACAGGACCCTCTTGGAGTGTAATCCATCAAGTTGCATACTGTGTATTTGTAAATAAGCCGTATATCATAAAGACACCACAGTCTCTGCTGCACCTTATTTCCAAAGGAAACAAGAACCTTGGAATCTTGCACAACTCAGAGATTGGGGGGACATCAAACAAAGTTATATGAAAACACACAAACACACACACACGTTTGCCTATGGTATGCCTAGCAGTGAAACATGTTGGAAAAAGAAATAACATTGTTTAACCTTTCCTTTTAAAAATGCAGAATCTTGTTGGCCAAGCCTCCTGTATGCGTGCAAAACTGTGTTTTTGTTCCAGACAAAGGGAGAGAGTCAAGTGGCTTCTTTCAGTCTTCATTTAAAAAGCACATCTCCAAACTGCTTAAAATATGTTGGACGAAAGGGGGCAAAATAGATTCTTCAATAAACTTGACTTTACACATCTGTGATATTAGATGAAAGGAACTAGTAAAAAGGTAAGCAACAAATCTTCTTAAAGGTAGATAGAGGGACAACATCCAATCATTCTTTTTTATTACCGTTCAAAGAAAGATAATGAAAAACCATCCATTTTTGGACTACCAGACAACCTTGTGAAACTTGTGTAAATAAAAGAGAATTGTCAGTGTTACAATAAATCCAAGTGTCACCAATATAACAATGATAATTAAGCCCACAGTGAGTTATGACCCTCACTTGCCTCAGGCTTCATAAGCCAGCCAGGAAGTCTGTAAAATACACTTTAAACAAATCTCCAAGGTTTGTAAGATTAGCTAGGGCTGCTTAGGAAACAAAGCAATTAAACAAACCTCAGCGCTTGAAAGACTCTCATGGCTTCCTTCTGACAGTATGACACTTAAAGTAAGGCATGCGTCTAGTTCTTTTGCAGTGGTAGCTGCTGACATTATCTGCACCTTCCAGTTCCTAAAAAAAGAGTTGAGCCAAGCTAGAGCCACAGTTTCCTGGTACTGTATGTGTTGTTTGGGACAAACATAAGTCTTCCTGCTTCATGGACCCTTCTATGAAGCCAGGAAGCAGATGTGTACGAGAGAGAGTTTACTTTGCTAACCCAGATTTGGCCTAGACAATAGAAACAAATATAGAATCATAGAATTGTAGAGCTGGCAGCGACCACGAGGGTCATCTAAACCAGCCCCCTGCAATGTAGTAATATTTGTGCCCAACATGGGGCTCAAACCCCTGACCCTCAGAGTATGAGTGCCATGCTCTACTGACTGAGCTATTGCCGCACCTTGTAAAATCTGTAAGACGGTGAGATAGGTGCAGCTGGTATCTAGTCATTACGACAGACCGTTTTAAAAATATCATTGGACATACTTAAAATAGATCTTTGTATTTCAGCTGGCACATGTACCGGTACCTTGAGGCAGATCCCCACCCCTTTGTAAATTGCTTAGAAACTGGAGTGAAACTCTTGTCAGCAGGGAATGCAAATTTACCTGATGCATCAACAAGGTAAAGTAATTGCTAAAATCAGCCTAACCTTTCCCTCAGAGAGGATTGGTCATACTTTGTGGGCTCCCTGTGAGCCTGTGGTCATAGAAGGGCCATTCTGGATGAGGTTTGGGTGAATGCTACTCTGCTCTGCAAGAGTGGGGCACCCTTTGAGTTGGCCCTTTCTTGCAGATGGAAGGAATCAGTCTGGATGATTTTCCAGCTGACTGGACTGGTGGTCCAGTGGAGGCTCTTGCCTCACTGTGGAATGGGGAGATGCACAGAGTCACTGGCACAGTCATTCCTAGGCAGCCCCACCTTTGTCATGGATCCCCTTGGTATTCTAGAGACCTGTGTGGGATGAGACAGATGGGTCATGACTGAAACAGGTGAGGGTGCACCAGCATGCCTACCAGGTGATGGTGGCAGCAACGAGAAAGCTCACTTCCCTGTCCCCATTGCACCCACAAGTAGCCATCCCACAGAGCTTTTCTGAGTGGCGAATGGACTTTTGCCAGCTAGTCAAGAGAGCATTGCTCTGACACCATCAGAGAGAGGCCTGCTATAACAACTTTGCAAGGGATAAAATCATTCAACCTGTGACTCGGATGTCACAGTTAGAGCAAGCCCAGTGGTGGGGTCTAGAGCTCCTTCTCCTCTTTAGGTCTGCCCCATCTATACCGAATCAGTTTAGATTATTGCTGCCTGAGGATGTGAACGAGCTGCTTGGAGAAGTGTGGCCGACCCCTTGCCTCCTGGATCCTTGCCCATCTTCGCTCCTTAGCCCTGGCCAAACAGAATTGACTGGGTAGGTCCAGGGAGAGATGGAGGCTTCACTGGAGAAGGGGAGTTACACTTGCCTTGAAGGGGCTGGTGTTGTGTCCCCCTCTTAAGAGGATCTCCACTGCAACTGAGAAATCATATGCTTAGCACTCATGGAAATCCACTATTCATTTTACTTTTAGAATCAGATTAATGATAATGTAGAAATATATTAATGAGCCTTTCACACAGAAGACAAATTAAGAAACGCTGTAGGTCGACAGTGGTAACCTACACCAAACATTATCTGGTATGAAAGGCAGACTCACAAAATGAAGACATAAGAGAATGCTGTTCAGATCAGGCAGACAGACTAAGGCAAAGAATAGGTGAGAAATCAAAGACTTGCAATTGGCTACAGTGCATAGAATAAAACAACTATGTTCCGTAAAATCTCAGACAGTAAATTGGTTCACATGAGCTCTCTCTTTGTATAATGCTAACCTGCTGCTGAAATAAGGATTTCCTGAGTGCAGGTAAAGCAGAATCTCAGACAATGACATTATGGAACACAATGAGGACATATAACAGCACAACCAGCAAAAGATAGCCAGAGCTTCTAGGGTGGTGGAGCACTGAACAGCAAAGGGGCTTTTATCTGGGCTCAGCTCATTTAACCCAGCAAAAGAGGCTTCGATAGTGATCTAATCCCATTAATTTCCATATAGCAGATTGCAGACTGTTATTTAACACACATAAAAGGTGAAAAATGGAAAGCAAGGAAGGAACCCTTTTAACACTATGATTTCTCAGAATTAGAATATTAAAGAAAGCTAGTTTTAAAAGTGCCTGTACATTTCATGGGTTTTCCTCCCACTATCACAAACTCCTGATTTCCTCAAGCTGTAGGAACTTCCAGGATGCTGTTTTTGGGTCTGTTTCCTTCGGAGGAGAAAAGAGCAGAGATTTGTGGTGGGTTTTTGTTTTTTGCCTGAAAGATTCACCCAGGGAGAAGATAGGGAGCCGTGTTGGTGTTGAGCAGAGTGTTGGCAGCACAATCTTCTCCTCTCCCTACTCTTTTGGTTGTGGGACTGGTAGGTGTGAGCATTTTTATGGCTTTAGCAGTATGTGGACCGAGAACTCCCAGAAGTGCAAGCTGGATTTTGAAGGGACAGAGGAACCAGAAACCAAATTGCAAACATGCGCTGGATAATGGAGAAAGCTAGAGAGTTCCAGAAAGACATCTACTTCTGCTTCATTGACTATGCAAAAGACTGTGACTGTGTTGACCACAGCAAACTATGGCATGTTCTTAAAAAAATGGGAGTGCCTGATCACCTCATCTGTCTCCTGAGAAATCTCTATGTGGGACAAGAAGCTACAGTTAGAACTGGATATGGAACAACTGATTGGTTCAAAATTGGGAAAGGAGTACAAGGTTGTATATTGTATCCCTGCTTATTTAACTTATATGCAGAATTCATCATGTGAAAGGCTGGGCTGGATGAATCCCAAACTGGAATTAAGATTGCCGGAAGAAATAACAACCTCAGATATGCAGATGACACAACCTTGATGGCAGAAAGTGAGGAGGAATTAAAGAACCTTCTAGTGAGGGCGAAAGAGGAGAAAGCAAAATATGATCTGAAGCTCAAGGTCAAAAAAAACTAAGATCATGGCCACTGGTCCCATCACCTCCTGGCAAATAGAAGAGGAAGAAATGGAGGCAGTGAGAGATTTTACTTTCTTGGGCTCCATGATCACTGCAGATGGTGACATCAGTCACAAAATTAAGAGACACCTGTTTCTTGGGAGAAAAGCAATGACAAACATAGACAGCATCTTAAAAAGCAGAATCATAGAATCA